GAAATAAAAGTGACAATTTCTATAATGAGCAAAAGTCTATGACAAGAACAATTTTATGGCTATGAGGATGGGGACAAGCAAAGAGTGAAGTAATTGGTATAATACCCCTCGTGTCATCAGAAAATGACAAAGGACGGTTGCATCCTTTTTCTCCCATATATGTTTTGTGTTAGGATAGATGATATCATCCACAGCAGGCTAGTAGTGTCAGCATTCCTGGCAAGTAAAGACTTAAGTGTGCATGTAATCCTAGACTTCAGTGAAAGAAGTCCAGGGCCCATCTAGGTCATCCAACCACCCATGGATAAGCATTCACTCATTGGTATTTTGCACACCACAGGCGATGAACTCGGGCTGAGTTGCTTGCATATCAATTTATTTTGGTGGTAGTTGTCCCTTTCAGAAATGTTATATGGAATTAAAAATAGAGGCAGAAAAATCACTATAGACTGACTAACTAAAAAACGTTTAAGTTCAGTAAAAGGAACTAAAGTACAAAGTGAAATGGGGCCACAGTGAAGAAGCATCTGCATTTAGGGAAATTTTTATGTACCATAGACATAAACAAGGGAAATGACATAGACATTACTTTAATCCTTAAAAAAACATACTTGTAATGTACATATTTTGTTTTCATTCAAGACTGAGCATTAGCATTTTTATTAACATAATTCACAAGATATTCAAACTTTTTTTTTAAATCCTTCTTGGGCACACCAGTTTATGGAAACAGCTTGTAAGCAATGTTTTGATTACAAGGTTTAATTATAGTGGATTCCTGTGATTTGAATACCAGTCACCTCTTTCTGCACCTTACAGGGCTCTCATTAAAGCTGCACTAGATGAAACCTTAAACCCCATGGCAAAGGCACTCCGTGATTGTTTTCTTTTGTCATAACACTTCTCATTTAATTACTGTGCTAACAATGAAAAGTCCCAATATACTCACTTAGATGCAGAACTACAGAGTTATGTGTCATTTGCAGCAAAAAGATCACTTCTTCTAAGGCACCAGAGGAGCAAAGGAGAGTTTTATTTTGTTAACAAAGCAGTGATGTGGCGCTAGACTTCACAAACTCTGCAGTCAGACAGGCATTATTAATCAGGCAATTTTAGTATGTATGCAACATTTGTGACCTCAGGTTGGTTACATAGCAAATTAACTTCTGAAATCTTAATTCAGAAAGAGTACCGTAATATATACCTCATAAGCTAATTAGGAGATTAATTCAGATGAGGCAATGGATGTATCAATTAATGAAATATTCATTAATAAAGATAGCTGACATCGTTTGTTCATGTTCCAAGCTTTTAAGGGGTTTTACATGTAAACTTGTATATTCTTCACTCTAACTCTGTAACATGACCTCTTATTTATGATAGTTCCAATACATAGGCAAGAAATCTGAAGAATCACATCTTTAAGCAGTTTATCCAAGGATTTTAGCCACAAATTAAAAAAGAAAGAAAGAAGGAAAGAAAGAAAAGGAAGGAAGGAAGGAAGGAAGGAAGGAAGGAAGGAAGGAAGGAAGGAAGGAAGGAAAGAAGGAAGGAAAGAAAAAAAAGTGTTGTCAGGCCTGGCTTTCAGATCAAAACAACACAACTCCAGTGAGTCCTATGTTTACAACTACTGTACCATACTGGCTGAAAATCACTATGTGCCCAAATAACTTGCATTTTCACTACTAGTGGTGATGTCTCTGCTCTCACAGGCTCCCTGTCCTTGCTGTACCACTTTGTCTTCTCAATATTTTTAATTATTTTTAGTTGCTGTCTTTTTTACTTCCTTGTCTTGACTTTTTGAAGTTATCATTCACATTCACAAATGAGCAGGCCTTGTTTTTGTGCACATAGGTAAGATAATGCCTTATTACAATGAAGGGTGACTTTTTCCCACACCCTGGCAAAAAATGTTGATTATCCATTTTTAACATGTTGCCAATTTTAATGGATAGAAATGACATCCCTCGAAAGCATTATAATTTGTATTTATTTTTAAAAACATTTATTGAGTATTATTGTGTGTATTGATGGGTTCAACATGATGCTGAGATAAATGTATACAGTGTAGATTGAGAATCTTTCTAACTAATATATCCATCACCTCAAATACTTATGTATTTCTCCTATCTAAATAAATTTTTTAAATAATGAAATCGAGTAATTCTTAGTAATTCTTTGTGCAGTGTGTGTATATCCCAAATGACTAGCACTGGATCAAAAGAACAGAGAAACTCCCTAGCTAGGTGTGGTGTCACACACCTGTAATCCTAGCAGCTTGGGAGGCTGAGGCAGGAGGATCAAAATTCAAAGTAGCCTCAGCAATGTAGTGAGGACCTAAAGCAACTTAATGAGACCCTGTGTGTAAAACAAAAATATTTTTTTAAAAGGAGGGCACTGGGATGCAGCTCAGTGGTTAAGCACTCCTAGATTCAATCCCCAATACTAAAGAGAAAGAAAAATTTCCTACACTTTAATTCTGAGAACTTTTTAAAATAATAAAAAGGCACTTTATCTGTATCTGTATGAGGAGCCAGACATGGTATTATAAGTTTTATATGTCATTTAATTCAAGGGTCTTCTTATAGGTGTTTTAAAAAGCTTAAAACTTTGGATCCCTATGTTGAATTTAAATAATAATTTGAGTTAAAAGATAATGCTATGAAAAGTTAGTGCTTTGAAATTATGATGAATTAAATTATAACAGGACAATTAATTATGCAAGCAAAACAATTTAATTTGTTCTGTCACAGTGTTTTAAATCAAGTCAGGAAATGACTTGTGCATATTACAAAAGAAGCAAGTAAAAAAATTCTATTTTCTCTGAAAGGATTTGGAGAAGTGACCTCATTCTGTACTGGTAATGCTCTGTGGGTTCATGCACAGCAGTGAATCAGAAAGTGAACTTGATAATCAGGGTACATTTTGTCCTCTCCTGGTGGCACTTTTGAAATGCATGTGCCCAGAAGATTACATATTGTTTATTAATATATTATATGTCATTTCCTCACTTGGCCAGTGCTTTGAAATGGAAATCTAATCTGAAGTTTTTTTGTGTGTGTGGTCTATGAAAACATTTTTTTCCCACTGAGTTCTAAGGCCCAGTGATTCATTGGAACCTGATAAGATGATTCTTTATTCATCTTCATGCTTCCTTTCCCAAGCATATCCAATTAGAGATAGCATGTGAAATTTATAAAACAAACCATATTTTAATCTATAAAAACAGTGCAGCTAAAATATTTTTAAGATATGGGCTGTTAACAGCATCTTTTAAATGAAGCTGGAGATAGTAGGGGACCATGGAGCTCTGATAACTGTTAAAAATTCACTATTCATTTAAATGTACCATGCAGGATAGCCACAGGAACCTTTCATATTGGTAGCAATTCATGAGCAACAATCTAGAGAAAAAGATGAAATATTAATCTGCATATTTTATAGATAGTTAATGTGCTGTTTCATTGAACTGAAACATTTTTTCCAGCAAAATTACAAATCATGTAACTTAAAATTGCTTATAATTAGTAGTTGTGCCTAAAATAACTTTTTAATAATTTTCATCTTATTTTATTCAGTGCTAAATTGTCAACCTGAAAATTTTAATATCACTTCAAAATCATATATTTGTTCATTAGTAAATTTAACAAATGTGTTTTGAGCATTTGCCATCTTTCCATTACTAGTCTCAGAACTTGGCGGTAGTTTTGAATAGAACAATGACCTCTGTCCTCAGGGAGCTTACATTCTGGACAGTAAATAATAAGAATAAAAAATATGTAAATATTTTAAAACATAAGAAATATGGAGAAAAGAAAAAGCAGAACAGAGTGTAGGGAGTGTAGAAGAGGGGAGGCAGAAAGTACATGGAATGTGTATTTATTTTAATTTTTTAAAATTTTATTTATTTATTTGCTCATTTATTTTAGTCATACATGACAGTAGAATGTAATTTGGCATAGTATACATACATGGAGGGTAACCTATACTAATTAGGATCCTATGGTTGTACATAATGCTGAGTTAACCTGGTCATGTATTCAAATACAAGGCTAGGAAAGTTATGTCCAATTAATTCTACTGTCCTCCCTATACCCCTCCCATTCCTTCCCTTCATTTCCCTTGTTTAGTCAGTGGACTTCTTTTCTTCTCCACCCTACCCTTCCTTGTTGTGGGTTAGTATCCATATATCAGAGAGAACATTTGCCCTTTGGTTTTGGGGGGTGGGTTTATTTCACTTAGCATGATATTCTCCAGTTCCATCCATTTACTGGCAAATGCAACAATTTAATTCTTCTTTATGGCTCAGTAATAGTCCACTGTGTGTAAATACCACATTTTATTTATCTATTCATTCATTGAAGGATACCTAGGTTGCTTTCATAGCTTGGGTATTATAAATTGAGTTGCTATAAATATTGATATGGCTGTGTCACTGTAGTATGCTGATTTTAAGTCCTTTGGGTATAGACCAAGGAGTGAGATAACTGGGTCAAATGGTGATTCCATTCCAGGTTTTCTAAGGAATCTCCATACTACTTTCCAGAGTGGTAGCACCAATTTGCAATTCCACCAACAATGTATGAATGAACCTTTCTACCCACATCCTCACCAATATTTGTTGTTACTTATATTCTTAATAATTGCCATTCTGACTAGAGTAGGATGGAATCTCAGTGTGGTTTTAATTAGTATTTCTCTAATTGCTAGAGATGTTGAACATTTTTTTCATATATTTGTTGACCACTTGTATTTCTTCTGTTAAGTGCCTGTTTGAATCCTTTGCCCATTTACTGATTAGCTTATTATTATTATTATTATTATTATTATTATTATGTGGTGTTGAATTTTTTGAGTTCTTTGTATAACCTGGAGATTAATGCTCTATCCAAGGTACAGGTGGTATCCTAGATAGGGTGGAGTCTGATCAGGCTGCCACGACAAAATACCCTAGACCAGGTATCTTCAAAACAAAAGTTTATTTTCTTACAATGTAGAGTCTAAGATCAAGGTTCCAGCACATGTGGTATCTGGTGAGGTCCTTCTTCTGACTTACAGATGGATGCCTTCTTTCTGTGTCTTCACATGGCATTTACTTGGTACAAGTGTGGAAGTAGAAAGGGAGAGGAAGAGGGCAAAGAGGGAAGGAGAGTGGAAGAGGGAAGGAGAGAGAATAAGCACAATAATGTAAACTCTCTTGCATCTGTACTTACAAGGACACTCATTCTATCTGATCAGAGCCCCACCCTTATGATGTCATTTAAACTAATTTCTTCCTTTCTCCAAATCCAGCCGCACTGGTGGCTAGCACTTTAACATATGAATTTGGGGGTGATAAGTGTTCAGTCCATAGCAAGTAGTCATTGAGAAGGTGTTTGAGCAAACCCTTGCAGAGAATGAAATTGTCACTCAGGCAGATTCTCAAGTATTTTACCTCTTCAGTGATGTGGTTTAATTCCCTATCAACCTTTCTCTTAATCATTTTAAAATGCATTTATGATTGTTACCTGAATCAGTTATTTCATTAGGAATATGAAATGGTCATTTTAAAATTTTATCCCTCTGCATTTCTTTAATTTTATTCTTTCTACATTTATTAAGTAGAATTCTCTTCAAACAAAGAACTTTATCTTCTTAACTAGGGCTATTTTCTTTAAAAAAAGAATCCATAAAATACAGTTCATATGAACCATAAAATTACAAATTTTAATCAGAGTTGATTACAATTATTTATATTAAGAAAATGGTGTTGCCATAATTAAATCTTACAAATCAGTATTTTTATTTATTTTTCTCTTATTGATAATATGAATGTTTTAAAATGATTTCTAAAATCATTTTTAAAATATAAAATCATTCATTAAAATATATTCAACCTGTTTTAAAAATTTCAGTTTTTATTCCTTAACATATTAAATCATTATCTCTTTGGCCATGAGGCAAGCACTCTACCACTGAGTCACAACCACAGCCCCAATCTTTTATTCACTTCATGCTATTAGCCTTTGTTAGCTTCCTGGCTTTATGGTACCATTATATATTTTGAATTTATTTTACTCCTATTCCTACTTTGGAATTACTATCTTTCCAAGGCTCCTTGCATTCATATAGTAAATACTGTACATACTTTGAATACAGTGCAACAGAATTTCCTCATGAATTTTATATATTTTACAATATATATTGTAATATATATATATATATATATATATATATATATATATATATATATCCCTAACCCTGAGCAACAGGAGTAATAAAATTTCTTCTGAGAGATGGAAGGATGCAGTTGAAAAGAAGAAAATGTGGGGGCTCAGCTTCGCACATAATAATTTTGATATTTTAGTTATACTTATAAATAAACTTGTATAGTAAGCAATTGGTTATACAAGAATGGCATTTGATAGGTTAGAATCCTAGTCATCATCATACAGGTAAAAAGTAAAAACCATGAGGTTAGATGAGATTACAAAGGAGTGAGTTTAGAAAGAGGAAAGGACCAAGGATTGAGCCCTCAAATTAAATGATCTAGGAAAAGAGAATAAGCAGGTTTTCTTTTTTACTAGTATTCTTGAGCAATATAACAAAAAAAAAATCTTTCTTTGTGATTTGAAACCCAAAATAGTATTCTATGACAATGTTTACTGATAATGTTGCCCCTCTTTTCCAGGTGAAGGACTTTCAGAAAGAACTGTAGAGGTCATTCTTTCAGTAACATTGTGTATCCTTTCAATAATTCTTCTTGGAACAGCCATATTTGCATTTGCAAGGTAAGATTTGTTTGTACTCACGTTCCCAGGATGCTTTATGGGCATTATATCAATCACAGTCCAATCAAGAGACAGAATCCTCAGTAGTTACATGAATGGGAAACATTTACTTTTTAGTTTTCTTAAATTGACAGAAAAAAATCTTTTTATTCATTTATCATGTGTACTATGATGTTCTGAAGTACATATGCAGCATAGATTGACTAAGGAAGGAATTCCTGTCATCTGAATGGGAAAAATTTAATGTGAAAAATATTAAATAAAAGAAATGGTAAACTACTAAAAGTGGGTAAAAGAGAATTCTAAGGAGCCTAGAAGTAGCAAATGCAAGAAAGCAACTACTCTCCTTAGTCTGAGGGACAGGACAGTAAAGGAACTAAGACTGAAAGAAGTCCCAAACTAATGCTGTCTGTGCAACCTATCAGTGGGCAAACAGGGCAGAGGACAGGGAGCTCTTTTGTAGAAGTTATCCAACATTATTGGAGGATAGGCAGACTAGAATTGCTTGTAGAAGCATCTAATTCTTGTTGGATGGGATATGTGGGCTGGAGCTTCTTGGAATCCTAAACCAAAGGGATGGAGAGAGTTTTCACTTCAGAGGCAGTGAGAACTCATCCAGGTGGGCTTGATTTCCAGAAGAAATAATAATAATGCAGGACTGAAATCCATAAGGGCAGTGGTCCTTAGTTCCTTGAAGATAGCGACCATGTTTTATAATTTCTATTTCTTAATCAATATGTAATACATAATAAATAATGAATGTCAATTATGTGGCTGATAAAATAGCTACATATTACCTCATAATATCAATATTATTTATAGATAAATGATCGATGAAAAGGCTGTCAGATTCATATGACTTCATTTTGAACCTGAGTTTTCTGATTATAATAAAGATAATATTCTTCATAATATTTTCATAAAAATTCAATAAGACAATTAAAAATCATTTATATGTATTTGCATGCATGTAAAAATGTTTCATTATATAAAAACAATGGATTTATTTAGCACTGACATTAATAGTACTGAGCTATTTCCACTTTAACATATTTTCTTTTCATGGCAAATCAGTGAGACAGCTAGAGTGAGAAGAAACTGGTCATAGCCTCAGTCTCCGGACTCATCTATTTCAAATATGCCAGTTGTTCAGGCCTTGATCAACCAAGTCTTATTAAATTGTGGATGTAAACCAAACAATTTGTTTCAAAATTTTTATATTTAAAAAGTCTTTAGTAGAAAATGTCCTGTGGAATTAAAACAGGCAAAACAAAATTGAATAGTTCTAAAATTGCCACATATTCTGAGAAGTGATTCTAACAAAGAAATGATCTGATTAAATGTCTTCACTTATAAAGAAAACGAATAGAAAAAAAAACCAGTAGTGAAAGGGGACTGGGAATAAGAACAGAGAGAAAGGGGAAGTACTGGGGAATGAAATTGACCAAATTATTATCATGTACATGTATGAACATGTAATACTATAATAATGAATCCCATTATTATGTATAATTATAATGCACCAATGCAATTTTTTGAAAGGAAAACTAAACCTAATTCTTATGCTTTTTAAGATATTCCTTTCTTGGACTTTATTGTACTTGTTTTAGAATTCGACAGAAGCAGAAAGAAGGTGGCACATACTCTCCTCGGGATGCAGAAATTATTGACACTAAATTCAAGCTGGATCAGCTCATCACAGTGGCAGACCTGGAGCTGAAGGACGAGAGATTAACGCGGTGAGCACACTCCACTGGGCGAACAGTGGTCCAGAGGGCCTGGAGCCATGACCCCACCCTGACCTATGCTTGTTGGAAGTGTTTGTGGGGCTCCAGTTTACACAGGTCACAGAGATCTTCTTTCAAAGGGTGACCTCTGTCTTCCACACACTTCTCACTGGTGTTCAGAGAATCACTTAATCTTCCTAATATTTTGAGTTCAATATGAACCTCGGACTCTAATGTTCAACAAGATTTTCTTCCTGAGGCAAATATTTTTACACATTATGTTTTACATTTTGTTTAAAAATTCATTTCATGTGATAGATTTCTTATACATCATATTTGTTTCAAAATGTCCACTTTTTTAATAACAAGTTTAATTACATTTATAATAACTTGATATTGTTTATGTCAGTTTTGAGAGCATCTCTTAAACCTCCCTATTTTAGTATAAAATTAAATTTATAAACTGTATATAACATTTTAGTATTTATAATTGATTAGTATTTAAAAACTAAATGCAAATCAACAAATTACCTTCAGAAGGAGAAGTATAAATGTGTGTACTAAATATGGTCACTGGTATGTATGGGAAATACTAAAGTGCTTGATTTTTAAAAATCCTAAATCTTTTTAAAAGAATTGTGAATTATTTGAAATATTGGCACATTTTAAAACTTGTGTATAAGTTATTCATTAAGTTCTTAGTAAAAGCTATCATCAGGCTGTTTTAACAAGTTGTCTTAAGAAGTTAATAATTTTTCTTATAAGATCCAACAGAATGTGATGCATATAAATTCAAGATTATTACACAGTACTACACAGTTCTCTTGACATTTTAAGAAAGAGTAATTTTTAAAAATTAGTTAATTTTTAAAATATAACATTAAAGGTCTTGAGTATCAAAAAGAATCATTTGTTGTTGTCACTTTTCAAAGTTGGTCTTTACCTAATAGATTGACTCTGCAAGTGTATTTCCAGCATGTCTAAAAATATCTAGTATGTGCCTTAGAAGGAGGTGTCATCTGGATAAGCAGGGTCTTTCCAAATGTTATAAAATTAAGTTTATTTAGCGTATCACTAAACCACAATAAAACTTGCTTTGTAGCATACAAAAATTTACTTTTTAAACATTTGAATGCTGATCTTTGTTTATACTCTAATAGAGTCTGTTCCCATTTATAAATGGATAGTGTACCAAAGATGTACATGTAAAATGATTGTATATTATATAGGTTATCTTTTTTTACATTAGGAAGTTATATATAAGAGATTAAGAAATTCCCACCATGACCTGCCAAAGCTAACCATATCATAGAATAGTAGAGTATTGCTAGATAATACCCTAGGATACTAGGTATGTTCTGGACCTGAAGGGGTCATGCTACATAGTAAAAGAAAATTTCTTCTCTTTTCCCCATGGGCCAACTGAATTTTAGTATGTCCTCCTGCCTCCATTTCTGTACTCCTTTTTCAGTTCCTTGTGACCCCTCTACAGACTGGGAGCCCAAGGGCCTTTTCTGAACACCTGAAAATGTACAAGGGATAACTTCGGATCTCTGGGTACAATTAATTTGAATGATTTAAACTATTTTAGTTGAATCTGTTCATACTAAACTGTAAATGTCAAGGAGACTATAATACTTGCTGAACATTTTTATTTTCTTTAAAGGAATCTTTATTAAGCCCCCACAATCCCTTGTATGCAGATCTTTAGAAATATAAAATACACACACACACACACACACACACACACACACAGAGTGGAGAAAGTATTCTCTATCAAGGAGGTCACTGTTCTGAGCAGTGGACCTTCTATAGTGAGGCTGGTTTCCCTAAGCTCAGTGTGTGTTCACAACTTACTCCATCCTGCACTTCTGAACACTGAATACAGCCATTATTTTAAAAAAATTGTAAAGTTTGTAAAACTTATTTTGTTTGTTTTGACTTTTTACAATGACTATCATCTTGCAGCTATAGAAAAATTTCAAATCATGGACATGTGGGGCAATGACTTTATAGCTTGCTGATTATTGGGTATTTATAATCCAGGGGCTGCCCTATTTGACCTTGACTCCATATTATTTATTTTCTAGTTCTGTGTCTATTTATTTCTATAGTACATGGTTTGTAAAAGGCTATAGAAGTAAAATAATACTTTGAATATTTTTTGCCCCATAGAAAATTATTATGTATTAACTCTAGTAATAGCAAAATTGAAAATATTCATTTCCATGATTTTCACTTTTTCATTTGTGTGTTATGATTCTGGAATTCATGACTTCAAAATACTTGTTTGTAATAGCAATAGCACATAATAGTATTTTTTGGTTGTATTACAGAAATTCATTAAAAATAAATATTGAGTCATTTGGGTATTAACTCTTCATCATAGAGATCTATAATTTTTCATGTTAGTAGACTCATAATACATTAGACAGGACTGGAAAATAATAACTACCTGCACATATCCCACGGGCCTGACCTTCAGTGGAGCTGAAAAGTTCTTCGTTGTTTTCCAAGAACTCAAAGATCTCAATTTGTTTCATATCAGGGACTGATGGTGGAGGTTCTGGGAGCAAAGAATCAAGGAGGTAGAGTTAGCTCCCCAGATTTGTGTGTAGCTTTCATCATGTGTCTTTGTTATCTTAAAAAAGAACTTAGTTCTTTTATATCTACCCAGCTAACATATGTGCTTTCTGCTTGAATCTCAGCCTTGTTCTTTTTCTTCTAATCTGCCAAACTTTTCATGTAAAACTGAACTTGTAAATTTTCCTGTGTTCTATATCTTCACATGTCCAAAAGCAAATGATTTGAGAGAATAGCTAATCAATAAATTGAATCTTAAATTGATATTAATATTAAATAATAACTTAAATCAATTAATGAATATTCATTGACAAAAGCAAAGTTATATTGATTTGCGATTTTCTATTTAAGATGTTATTTAATTTGTATGCCCCACTATATACTTATGTTTTAAAGCCCATCCTGTACTTTTTGTACATGTAAATTCTAATTATGTTTTACCTGTTTCACAAAGTGTTTGAAGATAGCCTTCCATGTTACATTTTTTCTTTCCAAAGAAGAACAGAAGTAAAATAATGATTCAGTACTACTTAAACTCTTTTTAAAAATTTTTTATTTGTTCTTTTTAGTTATACATGACAATAGAATGTATTTTGACATATTATATATACATGGAGTATAATTTCTCATTCTTTGGTTTGTACATGATGTGGAATTACCTTGGTTGGGTATTCATATATGAACACAGGAAAGTAATTTCCAATTCATTCTACTCTTTTCTATTCCCATTCGCCCTCCCTTTCCATCATTTCCCTTTCTCTAATCCAAACAGTACTACTGAAACTCTTTTTTCTATTTGTTGTTTTTAGTCATACTTGACAGTAGAATGTATTTTTTAATATCTTTATTTAATTTATTTATTTACTCAATGTGGTGCTGAGAATTGAACCCAGTGCCTAACACATGCTAGGCAAGCACTGTATCACTGAGCCAAAACCCCAGACCCCCTCCCTGCCTCCCCCCAGTAGAATGTATTTTGAGATATCATATATGCATGGAGTATAACATCCCATTTTTGTGGTTGTACATGATGTGGAGTTACACTGGTAATGTATTCATATATGAACATAAGAAAGTTATGTTTGATTCATTCTTCTGACTTTCCCATTCCTATCCCCTCTCCCTTCCTTCCACTCCACCAGGTCCAATCTGGTGCTGCTTAAACTCTTAAACTTAAGAACATTCAGAGATATGCTAAAATAATATTTTGCATCCTTCATTGGATTGATAATTATACAGTTATGCACATTTTACATTTAAGTTTAGGTAACACAAACTATATTTTTTAGAAAGGATATTTAATATCTGAGGATGACCTAGTTTACATTCACTAGATTAGAAAATGATCCTTGGGATTTGTTATCTGATAAACAAAACAACTTCTTATGACTCCTGTAAAACAGCCACTTGAGTTACTAAGGTGAGAAAGATTTTGAGGGCAATCTGTTGGCCAGATCAATACAGGTGAGATACAAAACTGTGCCTCTTATTAAAGACCATGAAATTGACCCTCTGGATCATCTTTAATTTGTTTAATTGTAACACAAATTACCTTCCCAAGAGAGTTATACATTTTTGTTTAAAGATTTATTTGTTAGAAAAGTTTTTCTTACTATGTCTTTCTACAATTAATTTATAGGAGTTTGTTTTATATTGTGACTAAATTGGGTGAAGAAAGTAAAATAAAATTAATCAATGCTGCTTGACAGAAATTCAGTTTCTTTTAGAACATATTTTTTTCCAAAATTTTGCACATCATTTCACACTAATCTGCCTATTTTAGTTGAGTGAATAATGGCACATATTTTTAAGTCTCAAGACCCTATCCAGTAAACATAAATAGAATTAAAATTCTTAACAAAAGGAAATAATTGAATGATTGTAAAAGTTATTTTAATAGAACCTTTCTCTCTTCAATAACTTTCTCTTTAGTGGATTTTTAAAAGAGTGCATGTTGAATATTTATTCCATGTATCATCAAAAACTTATTATTTAAGAGAATCCTATGAATGTGCTTTGTAAACTGTAAACCAGCATACATCTGGTATTGTTATTATTGTTATTTATATTTGTAATATCACAAACTACTCCAATCTATTTTTGCCATGGTTTGCTAACACAGTGATTGCTGCTGCTTATGAGCAGCTACTATATGGTAAACATTGCATTTGCAATGATTTCACTGAACTGTTTCAACACTTTGTTACCACAAAGTCGTACTCATGACCCCATTTTGCAGATTAAAAATAAAGGTGATACAAAGGGCAGTTAAGTAACTGTCAATAATCATGATGGTCATGTAGATAGTAAGGAGAGCCATGATGTTGCTCAGTTGTCTGATTCTGAGGTGTCAAGATACACACATGTGTGTGCACATGAGTGTATACCGTGTCTAACTCTGAAATACACTAGAAGAGACCAATGTAAACACTTTTAAAAGACAAAGAACCAAGGTATTCTTTTCCAGCAGTAATTTTTATGCTGAGAATGAGTCTAAGGAGAGAACTACTTTTTTGATTTATTTCTCCTGATATGGGGCAGAGAGGAAATGAAACTTTAGTGAAGGATAAACTTGGAGAAACTGGAAAACCTTTGGAAATGCAATTCTTCAATAAGAATATATTATATTTGACTGACATATGAAACTTTATGAAAAATAGCTTTTTAAAATAGAATTTTAATTGTCATCATTGTTTGACAGATTCTAGTCATTAATTTTGCTTCTGTCCTAAATTTAAACTATTTTTGCAAGCAGTGACAAAAATATGTGAATCCAGAATACAAGAAATACCTGCAAGTAGAATGAAGTTTAAGGTATTTAACACTCATGTTCTTGTAGTAGTAAATCAAAGATAATGTAGTGTGTTTGTATACTAAATAAATAATGACTCTTTACTTCCAGATACTCTTCATTTTTCTTTAGACGCAAGGAGATTTTTGTCATCCAGTAAGTTATGCAGAGTTCTGCTGTGATTATTTTAATCTTGTCAGGTGGTGTGCTCTGTATTTAAAAATACATGATATTGAACTCTTTTTTTTTTTTGCTTCATATGCTATTTCCCCAAAGACCCCAAACAATTGTACCTCTGTACTTACAATGTTTCCTCTGTAAGACTGCATGCTACTGATATGGTAAAATTAATGTTATCAAAATGCACATTGACTCATAATGTGCATTTCTTAAAAATTTGCTGTGTTTGCTTATGTGGTGTTAGCTTTAATAGTAAATTAAGTTTTTACCTAGATGTCTTTGCAGGTTTCTCATTATATTACTACCATCATATAAGAACTCAGTTCTCCATCTGATGGGTAATGTCAGGATTTACACTTCACAGGAGCTCATTTCTACAACTATAGATTGGAATCTGTAAAGACCAAGACATTGACATTTCCTATTTCTGCCTTCTGCTCTTCTGGTTCACACAGAGAGTGGCACATGAAATTTTTCTTCTGCCCTGACCAATGGGTAGCCAACTATCCCTGTTTCCAGGAACTCTTCTGATGCTCAGAAATGCCATTTGTATCCTGGCACAAAAATTTCTTGACATAATCAGAAAGTAAAATAGCAGATTGTCAGCATTAGAGGTACCCCCAGAAGCTGATTTAGTGCCCTAGAGATAATAAATTTCTTTATGGAAAGGATATGAATTGAGGCAGAAAATGAAACTATATTTGATTTCAGAATCATAAATCTACTAAAGAGGAATCAGTTTCCATTAGCCATAAGTCTGCATGGGGCCAGAACTCCTGATGCTATGGTTGACCAGGAGTAGTATTCAGTATGATTAAAACAGAGGAAGCCAGGCCGGTTTCTAGTCTAAACACACTTAGCATTTTGCAATCAGGAGTAACCCTGTTTTACTTCAGATTAACTAATTAACAAGTTTCATTGACAGAATTAAATTCGTTTTATGAAAATGTATTTTGTTCATTGGCTCTGTCTGATGGGATTCAAACATTTGTCAAAGTAAGATGCTATTGGGTTGAAGATTTAATTGATCACATCACACGTAAAATATCCATTTCCAAAGAGCACTCAAAATTGACCTTTTGGCATTCTAAACTGACAAGTGGTCTGGCTGAGCAACTCTGTTGAATGTCTTTATTCATCATCATAAAATAGAATCTCTTCACCATTTTCCCCCCTTCATGCCATTAGCAGCTTGGAAAATTACCTCCAATTTATAAAACTGTTCACTGTTTATCACAAATTTTCCTTTCCCAGAATGATTAAATAATGTTCTGCTCAGAATAAGCTCTTACCTTGGCAGAGCTGAACTTAGTAGGGTGGGTTGGTTAATCAGAACCTTTATAGAACCTCCACATGCATTGTATTAATAGATTTGAGCATCTTCCAAATCTAGTTTTCTGAGGCTGCTTGTAAGTTCCAATGCAGGGCCGTCATTACTTACCTGCTGATATTGCTACCTAGCAAACAGCTCAGGCTGTAAGTCTTCTTTGAGACTGTGTGATGCCTTCTGTCATCTCTCCATTGAAGTCTTCATCTGGAGCCCTTGTTCACCTCTTCACACAGCTGTCAGCAGTCTCTCCTCTCTATCCTCAGCTTCTGCCCTATTGCCCTTGAGATAGCTACATTATACCCATGGTTTAAATTTAGAATACATGGTTGATGAAATAAAACATATGTCAAGAATTTGTTTTCTAAAGTGCTAACGTGGAGAGACTTAGTAATAAATAAAATTCAACTTTGGCTACTCTGGAATCTCACCTCAAATTGTTGATATCAGCAAGAGTATTGGATTCCCATCTCTATCTAAAGGCCATTTTACCTTGTTTGAATGAAAGAAATCTCAACTGGCACCTCTTGAATGCCAGACACTTATCTATGCACTGGAAATACTGTGTTAAAGGAAGGAATGTTGCTTCCAAAGAGCTGTCCTTCAAGTTCCTATTGCTTTTTTAAAATATACTTGCCCTTACAGATATAAGGAGGCATTTTAAGAAAATACTAGATATCACTTA